GGTGCTCAGCAGCTGCTTACAGCCATTCATTTTGAGGTCAGCGCGCATGCGCGCGCTATTCCCTAGTTCATTCGCTGCGGGACTCGCTACACCGATAATCCTCCAGTTGCTCGCTTTTCACGTGTAATCACGCGCGCTTGATTACGAAAAGAATACATGTAATCACGTGGTAAGAAACGCTAACAAACACTAGTTAATTTTCTGCTTAAATCTTGCACCTCGATGGATTACAAACCTGCAAAATGGATTACGTGTAATCAAAAATTGTATTCAGTGCTCTTCACAGGGAGAGCCTTTTTTTTCCCACGGTAATGCGAGTTGTTTGGCTGAATTGGATTACAACTCCGAAAACAAAATTTTTACCAAGATTACTTTTTTTGGAGGTCAATCACCCTACAGCCGAGTTTTTTGTTTTCAACTGTGATGAGTTTGTAGTATCACTCAACTTTGCACTCCTCCAAATTTTCTTGAATAAGAGTAAGTTCTCTCAAAAAAAGGTCGATGTGGTTCATTGGAGTCAACCATATCATGCAGAAAAGTACCTGGTTTCTACGCGATCGGAAGGGCAACGAGGAGTGTATCTGTCGGAAAAAAAATTGAGAACTCCTCCTCAAAAAAAGTGACATGGCTTAACTGCTATTCCAATATTACGTTCTCTCTGAAAGAGATGAACGTGTTCATTGGAGTGAACCTTTCAACGTAGGAGAGTACATGACTTCTACGTTATTGGAAGGGCAGCATGGAATGAATCTGTCGAAAAAAAAATAGAAAACTCCTTCTCACAAAAAATATCATGGTTAGGACAAGAAGCAAAAGACAACAATCAGTGCAACAAGGACCACCCAAAGATCCTGGAGGACGCTGACGAGAGCATGGTGCGTGGTCTGAATACGACCACTTGTTCGCACCATCCTCCACTCAGGACTCGGATATCATGAAGAAGGAATTGTTTCGTGGAAGGAACAGGAGGGGAGACGACATCTCCTTTTGTGTTGATTCAACACCAATAAATGTCGATGATGAGCCCCCCTTAACAGCACCAACAGTTCCGACCTCGCAACAGCAGCCATCCATCCTATGGAAAGACCAACATCAACAGGAGGTAATGGCGAGAAGAGCACCGAGCCGAGCAGGAACAAGATCAAGAAGAGTTACCATATGCAAAGATACTTCCCTAGAACCCAGTTCTCCTGCACTCGCTAAAGAAGCAGCAAAACAAGCCCCCCCTTCCACCATTGTACGTAATCCATACGCGAAGAGATACAACACCAAAAGCAAGAAGGCTACTGGTGGTGGGCCTCCTCCCCTCCCTCGCCATCACGTGATTGTGCGGGTCGAGGACGAGTCCCCTGCCCTCCCCCCCTCCCACCACGTCGCAACAAGGAATCTGCTGCAACTGATCCACCTTCAACAACAGCCCCCCCAGCAATAGATATCAACAACAATGCATTGTCTAACCCACCACTGCCGTCATCTCCAGCACCGGCTAGTAAGGACAATGCTAATATTCTGGAGTACACAAGGACCATCCGAGATAATGCAAATGCTTTCAACACTCTTGGGAGTGATGAATATCAGGAAGTGGAAGCAAAGACAAGGAAGTATGCGAAGACAATAAGAACTATTCACCAAAAGTTTGTGGATATTGTTGCCGCAGCAACAGATCCATCGACCAATGATCCAGGCAACAGCGTTATGTATGAGATGTTTACAAAGAAAGTGTTAATGCAAGATGGGATGACCGAGGATTATCTATTTTACAAGCATGTAACTGGAAAGACCAACGCTGTAAGCAAGCAAATAATTGATCGAGCCTTGAAAGTTTGGGCAAGACACATGAAGAACACCAAGACTGGTGGTCCGCTTGACACCAGCACTATGAGCGTCAGAGTCCATCAGCTCTTTGTTGCTCTTCATGAGAGAGATGTAAGATACAAGGAAGGAGATTTCAAAACAAAGGGGGGCTTTCTTGCCTTCCTTAAGCATGATTATAATTCAAAGCGTGAAGCTGATCCTACCATTGGAACAAAGAGGACAAAGGCCGAGTTTGATGAGTTTGTCGACAAGAAGTTCTGTAAAGTGTTGACTGATGGAACTTATAAGCCTTACCAGAACATGCAAGACTTGCTAAAGCTGATCGCTATGGAGCTTGGAAGACAGTTTGGAATACGAGGTGGATCAGAGCTTGTGGGATTGATGTGGGCTCACATCAGAATGGGAACCTTCAACCATGGTAACATGAAAGGATTAAAGTATGTTATCATTGCTCCAGGAGGAGGGTTCGATAAGTCGCACCAGCTTTCACTGAATAATCCAACTGTAACGAAGCAGTTTCCTTCGGTGGTTGAAGATCCAGACAATCCAAATTGTATTGTAAAGCTTATGAACTTCTACAGGAGCAGGTGTGATCCAAAGCAAGCAAGGTTCCTTGTCATGCAAACTTGAAGAAAAAGAAGAACAATCCGTACTACTTCAAGAGCTCATCTCCTGTGGGAGTTGGATCAATTCGATCTTGGGTTAAGGAGTTTGCTGAAGTTGCTGATTTCAAGGATTGGGAAAAGTATACACCTCATGACAATCGGCACCGATGCTGCACTATTCTTGCTTCAGATCTAGCTGTCCCAGAAAAGATGAGGATGAACCATCTCAGACACAAGAGTAGCAGGTCTGCAGAGCCCTATATTCATCAAAATTCAGTAATTCAACAAGCCGCACAAGGTGTGCTTCACGGTGGCCTCCATGGTAACAGGGATGGTCCTTCAGGGAACGCAAAAGCAACAATGAAGGAGCCTGCTGGAGGAGATATCGACGTTAAAAAGACAGAGGTCTTTGGTGTGACACCAGAAGAAAAATCAGAAAGGGACAATGACAGCAAAGCAGTGCTTGCCGCTGCTTCTCCCCCTGCTGCAGATACAGCAACAATCGCGGCAGCATCCTTGCCAGCCAGAGATCCCCGCCATGTTGTTGTTGCAGCAGCATCCTTGCCAGCCGGAGGTCCCTTTAGTAAGAAGGAAATAATTACACCAACTAAGGGAATTTTGAAGCAACAGCTTGTCATGGCAAAAAGGGAAGCCGAAAAGAGGAAAGATGAATCAGATGAGTTCGAGCGAGCAGGAAAGAAGATCCGATCTCAGCTGGAAGATGCTGAAAACACTATTTTGAAACTCAAAAAGAAGCTCTGTTTGCTTGAAAATGACTTGCAAGATAAAAGGGTGTCTGAAAAGGTTCAGGTTGCAAAGGATGAATACAACCAGAAGGAGCTTGCTTGGGAAAAGAGCAAAAGAGCACAGCTTGAAAATGAACTGAAAATGTCACAGCGCTTGAAGGAAATTGAGGAGGCACGTCAAGGAGTGCAGTCCTGTGTTATTATGTAAAAGCAACATCGTTCTCCTGTGTTGTTGTTTCTTCTTGCTTGTCTATTTCACGACAACAACAGATAGTATCCCGTAGTAAGAATCACCACTAAATGAAATTATTTGGAATTAGCAGCTGTAGATAAGCTCCTTTTGTTGTTGCTTTTTGGACACAATAACATCTCTAGCAGCTCTTTCAACGCAAGGCTCCTCCGTATCGTATCAGCGGCTCGCTCCTCCATATCAGCTCAGTGGCTCGCTCCTCCGTATCGGCTCCAACTGCGTGATTACACGTGAAAAGCGAGCAACTGGAGGATTACGTAAATAATCGGCGAGCTACTTCTTCACAGCAGTAATCCAACTTCAGCCTCAGTCTCGAGCAAAGCTCTTGTCCTCGGCCTCAGTTGGATTACTGTGAAGTAGATCCAACTTCAGCCTCGGTCTCGAGCAAAGCTCTCGTCCTCGGCCTCAGTTGGATTACTTGTGTAATCCGTATGTAATCTGATCCGTACTCTGGAAAATGCTCCTTAAGGGGGGAAAAAAAATATGTGCAGTCTCGCGCTTTGCGCTCGACCCCACATAATTTTTTTTTCCCTTAAGGAGCGTTTTCCAGAGTACGGATCAGATTACATACGGATTACACGTAATCTGCGAGTAGCTCGCCGATTATATCACAAAACCGCCGGGTAGTACTACGTACTACGAGTATCGTAGCATTACCCTATTGGGTGATTCCCGCAAACATATTTTGTGATATGTTTTCAGGAATCACTTTCAGTGGTACAGAAGACACAGATTTCCAGCTCAACTTACATATCTCCCCCCCATTTTCGGAATTTGGAATCCTGTATAAATTGCATGCAATTTCACAAAATTCCAAAGTGGCGGGAACTTTGGGATTTTCACTAAACCAGCTGTGCCTTCAAAACTTCGGAAACAGAATCCTCGAAAACTGAATCCTTCTCCGAAAGAACAAAAGAGGAATAACAACAACAAAAACAGTCGGTATCCTCCTCCGAAACAGTCCCTACCCTCACTATTTGGCAATCAATTGCTCCTTCACAGAAAAAAACACCACACTAGTAGTATTATCATGACCCCTCAGATGGTCTTAATTGCCTGGTGGGCAGCTTCTTCCCTGGAGGAAGACGACGACAACAGGACACCAGCAAAACAAAGACTGTCTGAAGAAGACAGGCGTCGTCGTGACAAGAGGATTCCACGGATTGCACTCATGGAGTCTCATGAATCTGCATTCACTCATTTGTTTGATAGTGGTGACAACCAAGCTCTTCTCAACTGCTGTGGTGTGGACCATCCTGTCTTCAGGGATCTCCTCAGACTTTTTGAACCAGTTTT